GAGGCTGCGGTGGCCGGAGCGGCCACTGCACTCCAGTCTGGGCAACAGAGTGAGACTCCAACTCAATTAAAAAAAAAAAAAAGAGTTATGTCAGCCAGGCTCGGTGGCTCAGCCTGTAATCCCGCGCTTTGGGAGGCTGAGGTGAGTGAATTGCCTGAGCCCGCAGTTTCGTGACCCACCTGGGCAACTTGGTGAGACCTCATCTCCACAATTAATCAAAAAAAGTTAGCCAAGTGTGGTAGCGCGCGCCTGTAGTTCCAGCTACTTGGAGGGTTGAGGTGGAAGGATCGCCAGAGCCCAGCAGGTTGAGGCTGCGGTGGCTGGGAGCGTGCCACTGCTCTCCAGTCTGGGCTACAAAGTGAGACTCCAACTAAAAAAAAAAAAAAAAAAAAAAAAAAAAGAGCTATGTCCCGATGAGATGGTGCCCAGATGCCTGACCATCTGACTTTCTAATTATCTAAGCTTGTCTGTGAGAAACTCAGGATCTATATCCAAGCTATGCGGGGGACCCCAAAGAACCCCAGAATTTATTTATAAAAAATTGTGCACATATTCTTACATGTTTAAGCTTCAGTCACCTTCAAAGTACTCTCCATCTGATGCAATACACCTATCGAAACACTTTTCCTGCTGCTTGAAACAGTTTTTGAACTTGTCCATTTGCATGCCTTTTAATGCTTCTGCTGTTTTTTGTGTTACCTGTTCCACATTGGCAAAATGTTTCCCTTCGAGAATTTTCTTCATTCGAAGAAACAAAAAAAAAGTCATGCTGTTTTTGGCCAAAAACTGTTGAACACTGAGTGTGGTGTGGGCAGGTGCACTCGTAAATCACTCATCATGAAATGGGCAAACACTTGAAAGAATCTCAAAAAAAAAAGAGCATCGAAGCCAAACGCAGCCTCTCACAACAATGCTATCTGGTCCACTGAAGCCAATGGGTTCCTAGAACCCTCACCAAGCGGGGGAGACCTGAACTACAAGGGGCCCGACCTCCAAAAAGATAATTTCGGGTTTTTTTGGGTCCCCCTGTATGATAGCTGTCCGCTTTACACCTGGCAGCACCTGTCCCGTGCTGTCCTCAGGTGGGAGGCATCAGAGCCTGGTCCATGCACATCGACCCAAGGAGCAGACCTGGCCTTGCAGAGTGTGGCATGTGTGCAGGGGGCAGATGGCCTGGAAACTCCAGTCACAGTAGGACCCAGCTCCACAGACGAGAAGCCACCTGCTCTGGAGCCCTGTACCAGGATGTCATGTCCTCCTGGCTGGGGCCGTGTGAGTGCCCTGGGCACAGGCGGGCTAGGGCTGTTGGGCTCTTATCTGGCTGGTAGAAGGAGGAGCATGGGTTGCCATTGTCCTCCAGGTCAGAGTGGGAACACCCTTCCACAGGGCTGTTGTCAGAGGACAGGCTTAGACATGAGCGCTCTGGAGCTTCTTGGGGAGCTCCCTGCCCCCTTGCAAGCCAGGCTGAGAGAATACAAACCCTGCTGGAATCCCCCAAGGGGGAGTTTAATTCAGCTATGGCTCAGAAAAACCCTGCCAGGCTCCCTCCTAGTGTCCAGGGGCTGGAGGCTGAGTGGCCTTGCTCTGGGACAAGCCCTCGCCCCTTGTGGCCCGTGGGGCTTGCCGGGCCCAGCATACTTGCAGACCCCAGCGCTCAGCCCCAACCCACAGGGACCATTCAGGCTGGTGAGAAACCTGCAGAGGCCAAGGTGGGAATGTGGGGAGTGCATCCTCTCAGGCCAGAAGCAAGTTTTCCCAAAGGAGGGGTGGAGAGGGAATCCTTGGTGTGCTCCAGCCACTACCTGCCTCCCTTACTTTCCTGAAAGTGAGGGTGGGCTGGGTGCTCAGAGGCCTGGTGGTGAGAATCCCCAACCCACCAGCTCTTGCTTTCCCCCTGCAGCTGGACCCCAACGCTCCGGGGAAGGAGGAGGCACCCTCCCCACAGGGCAGTGCTGGGCAGGGGTCACATGCTGAACACATGTGGACTCCTCTGAAGGGGCCATGCTCTGTCTCCTGCGGACGAGGTGAGGGGACCCCAGGACGCTCCTGAAGGCCGGCACTCATTGTTTGACTTATCTACCTGTGTTTTGCCTAATTCTGAAAAGCATTTGCCGTGATTTATAGAAAATCCAGACTACATAAAAGTGTGTCGTAATATACAAGGAGACTGGAGCAAAGATCTGACAGCCACCAATTTTTTTCTTTTTTTTGAGATAAGAGGGTGTTGCCCAGGCTGGAGTACGGTGGCACAATCACAAGTCATTGCAGCCTCAAACTCTCGAGCCCAAGCAATCTTCCTGTCTTAACCTCTTGAGTAGTCACAGGCGTGTGCCACCATGCCCTGTTAATTTTTTTCTGTTTTTTGTAGAGACAGGGGTCTTGCTGTGTTGTCCAGGCTGGTTTTGAACTCCTGGCGTCAAGTGATCTTCTCACCTTGGCCTCTCAAAGTACTGGCATAAACCCTTGGGCCCCACCTCCCTATAGCCACTTTAAATGTGGGCATTGATTGGCTGAAAGACAGGAAAAGGTAATAACACTGGGTAGTCTGGCACTCAGAGCTGCCAAAGGTGGGCTCCACACTGACCACCAGAGCAGAGAAGCCATATTAGCTTTAAGATACACAGTGTTCGGCCTGGGGTGATGACTCAAGCCTGTAATCCCAGCACTTTGGGAGGCTGAGAGGAGAGGATTGCCTAAACTCAGGAGTTTGAGGCCAGCCTTGGCAACATGGTGAGATCTCATCTTTACAATAAATCAAAAAATTAGCCGGGCGTGGTAGCGCACACCTGTAGGTCTGGCTACTTGGAAGGCTGAGGCAGAAGGATCTCTAGAATCCAGCAGGTCGACCTTGTCACTGCACTCCAGCCTAGGCAACAGAGTGAGACTTCGACTCAAAAAAAGAAAAGATACACAGTGTTCTTTTGTTTTTCCAATTTTGTTGATTGTGGCAAAATACACATATTATAAAATTTTCCATCTTAACTATGTATAATTGTATAATTCAGTGATGTTGAGCACATTCACCTTGCTGTGCAGCCATCACCACCATCCAGCTCCAGAACTTTCCAATTTCCCCACTAAACTCTGTCCTCATGGAACACTAACTTTTCATTCCTCTTCCCAGCCCCTGGCACCCTCCATTCTAATATTTGTCTCTGAATTTGACTACTCTGTTCTACAGTATTTGTCTGTTTTTTTGTTTGTTTTTTTTTTATGTGTATGTGTTGAGGGTCTCACTCTGTTGTCCAGGCTGGAGTGTAGTGGCACAATCATGGCTCATTGAAGCCTCCACCTCCTGGACTCAAGAGATCCTTCTATTTCAGCCACCTCAGTAGCTGGGACTACAGGCATCCATCACCACGTTTGTCTATTTTTAAATTTTTTTTTTTTTTTGGTAGAGATGCAGTCTCGCTATGTTTCCCAGGCTGGTCTTGAACTCCTGGGCTCAAGTGATCCTCCAGCCTTAGTCTCCCAAAGTGCTGGGATTATAGGCGTGAGCCACTGCTCCCAGCAGTAGTCATCTTTTTGTGACTGATACTATCACTCAGCATGACATTCCCCAGGCTCATCCATGTTGTAGCATGTGTCAGGATTTCCTTTTTTTTTTTGAGTTGGAGTCTTACTCCATCGCCCAGGCTGGAGGTCAGTGGCACACTCACTGGCCACCACAGCCTAGACCTGCTGGGCTCACGCAATCCTTCCACCTCAGTCTTCCAAGTAGCTGGAACTACAGTTGTGTACTACCACGCCTGGTTAATTTTTTATTTATTTATTGTGGAGATGAGGTCTCGCCCAGGCTGATCTCAAACCCGCGGGCTCAGGCAATCCACTCGCCTCGCCTCCCAAAGGAGTTCAAGACCAGCCTGGGCAACATAGTGAGACCTCGTCTCTACAATTACAACAAAAAATCAGCCAAGCATGGTGGCGTGTGCCTGTAGTCCCAGCTACTTTGGAGGCTGAGGCAGAAGGCTGAAGGATTGCCTGAGCCCACGAGGTCAAGGCTGCTGTGTGCTGTGACTGTGCCACTGCATGACAAAGTGGGACCCTGACTAAAAAAAAAAAAAAAAATCTATCAGTTACCATTTGTTGAACACTTACTATGGGCCAGGCACTTTATATCTCCTCTTTAAAAATATTTATAAATGACTTTACAAGACAGATGTCATTATTTTAAAAACCTCTGAGACTCAGAGAGGTTAAGTCAGAGCCAGGACTCAAGCCCACATGGGCCTTGTCTGCTAGAGCTGTCCAGCAAGCTGGGGGTCTGCGGTCCTTCTGAACCCACTTTTTGGGGTGTGGGGGTCCCTAATTCCTCTCTGCAGGCCTGATGGAGGTACGTTTCCTGTGCATGGACTCTGCCCTCAGGGCTCCTGTCCGGGAAGAGCTGTGTGACCTGGCAAGCAAGCCTGGGAGCCGACGGGAGGTCTGCCAGGCTGCCCCGTGCCCTGCCCGGTGAGTAGGAGGAGTGAAACTGTGCAGAGGAGTCTGACTTCAGGGTGTGGCCTTCTCTATGCAGGTGGGAGACCCAAGCCTTGGCCCCATGCTTGGTGAGCTGCAGAGGGGGGTGGGTGCAGCTGGCTGTGTGCTGTGTGAGGCTGGACTACAGCCTCCCTGTTCCCTTGCCTCACTCAAAGTGCTGGCCAGTGCCCCAGCCCAGTCCCCCGGAAGACTGCCTCACCAGGTGGGCCAGCCAGGATCCCTGCCCTGCCAGGTGGGACCCTTCCCAAGAAGACAGGTGGTCCTAGGTCTGCATTCTGACTCTGCCCTCACCTTTGAGCCCAACCTTCTGACCTCAGTGTCCCTCCCTGTAGGAGTGGGTGGTATCGATGCTCCCAGAAGGCCGTGGGGTGTGGGTTAGTGACATGATCCTGCATGGAATGTACACTGCCCAGGATCTGGGATCCTGTGGGTGTATGGTTGGTTCTTTCATCACCGGCTCTTTACTGAGCACCTGTATCTTGGTGCTGTTCTAGAGTTAGGGGACATGGCAGCGAATATGGCAAACAGATACCCCTGCCCTCCTGGAGCTGACATTGGGGGCAAGGTAGAGATGGACAATAAATAAGACAGGGGAGGCCCGACACGGTGGCTCACGCCTGTAAACTCAACATTTTGGGAGGCCAGGCCGTGAGGATTGCTTGAGCCTGAGAGTTTGAGACCAGCCTGGGCAACATAGTAAAACCTCATCCTACAAAAAATTCAAAAATTAACTAGGCACGGTGGTGTGTGTCTGTCGTCTCAGCTACCTGGGAGGCTGAGGTAGAAGGATCGTCTAGTCCAAGTAGTGGTGAGCTGTGATTATGCCAGTGCACTCCAACCTGGGTGACAAAATGAGAACCTGACTCAAAAAAAAAAAAAAAAAAAAGAGTTGTTATTGACACAGTGGAGGGAGAGGTCCGGGTACCCAAGGGGCCCTGCTTATCTGTCTCTAACGGTAATCCCAACAGCACCACCCTGGAGCCCACCCCATCAACTTCCACCTTCCTTCCCATGTGTTTTGCGACAACACACCAAACATTGTTCATCAAACTCTTTGTCCCACTGTCTCTCCCTCTCTCACTCTGTCATCCAGACTGGAGGGCAGTGGCATGCTCCCGGCCACCGCAGTCTCAACTGCTGGGCTCAGGTGATCCTTCCTCCTCAGTCTTCCAAGTAGCTGGAACTACAAGCAGTGCCACCAAGCCTGGCTAGTTTTTTGATTTGTTGTAGAGATGAGGTCTTGCCAAGTTGTCCAGGCTGGTCTTGAATCCATGGGCTCAGGCAATCCTTTCACCGTGGCCTCCCAAAGTGCTGGGATTATAGGCGTGAGCCACCGGGCCTGTCGGCAAAGAAGGGTTTAAAGTACAGTTTATTAGAGGGAAAAGAAAGAAATGACACTTTCAAGAGAGAATGCAGGTGGTCTTAAGAGAAAGGGCACAGGCTTGCTGTTAGCAAAAAGCTTTTTTTTTTTTTTTAAGTAGGAGTCTCACTCTTTTGCACAGGCTGGAGTGTAGTGGCATGCTCACGGCCGCCACGGCCTCGACCTGCTGGGCTCAGGCGCTCCTTCTGCCTCGGCCTTCCAAATAACTGGAACCATAGGTGTGCACCACCACACCTGGCTAATCTTTTTTATTAATCGTAGAGACAGGATCTCAATAAGTTGCCCAGGCTAGTCTTGAACCCCTGGACTTGGACAATCTTCTCGCCTCCGCCTCTCAAATACTGGGATTACAGGCGTGAGCCACTGCACCTGGCTGAGCGGAAAGCTTTCTATGTTGTCCAAAATGATGCTTAAGCAACTTGTTTCTAAGTTCAGCTTTGATCATAAGTTTTAATTCTCATCATTTTACTCCTAAGCTTGTTTGTATCATGAGGAACTTTTGAGATAATAGGAAAAGTTGCTGCTTAAGTTTTCTCTTAGAGCTCAGTGCCTCAGTGTCCCTGGTGACTCCCTCCCATCCTGTTCTTGGTCCTTGTCAGGCAATCCTTGTCAGCTGCTCCTTATTCCAAAGGGCCTGGGTTACAGTCAGTGTGCAGTTGTTTAAAAGAGTTATGTCTTGATAAGACAGTGCTCAGATGCCTGACCACCTGGTTTCCTAATGATCTAAGCCTGCCTGTGAGAAAATCATGATCAATGAGGGGCAACCCCCAAAAATCCTGGAATTACCTTTTGGAGGGTGAGACCTTTATAATACAGGCTTTCCCCTCTAGGTAAGTGTTCTAGGAGTCCATCAGTTTCAGTGTACCAGTTAGCATTGGTGTGAAAGGCTCAGTTCAGCTTCAGTGAATTTTTTTTGGAGATTCTTTCAACGTGTTTGCCCATTTAATGATGGGTGATTTACAAGTGCACCCACCTACACTGCTCTGAATGTTCAGCAGTTTTGGACCCAAAATGTCAGCACCCCCATTCCCCACTCTCCCTATTAACCAGATCGCGTCCTGAGTTACTTTTTTTTTTTAATTTCCCTGAATGAAAAAAGTCCCCAGAGGGAAAGATTTTGCTGATGTGGAAGAGGTAAAACAAAAAACAACAGATGGCATCAAAACTGATGAATTCAAAAACTGTTTTGAGCAGTGGCAAAAGCATCTCAATAGGTGTATTGCATCAGACAGAGAGTACATTGAAGGTGATTGGAGTTTAAACATGTAAGAATAAATACACTTTTTAAAATAAATTCTGGGATTTTTGGGGGGCTCCCCTTGTATGTCTAAGCCATGCTAGCTGTCCTGTCTCATGTGACAAAGGGGACAAAAGAAGAAATGTGAAGTTGAAGGAACCAGAGGTCTTTTTCTTGCTGGACCTACCTGTCCTATCCCCTCGAGCCCTGGGACTAGGCAGGAGGCCCTCAGTGGCCCAGTTCCCACCTCACCTGACCCTGTCCCCTATCTAGGCCGACTGTTCAAGGAGCCAAGGGACAGTGCTGACTCTGGGAAGGTCCACCCTCTATAGGGTCTTTTTATTCCTGCAGGTGGAAGGTCATGTCCCTTGGCCCGTGCTCAGCCAGTTGTGGCCTTGGCACTGCTAGGCACAAGGTGGCCTGTGTGCAGCTCCACCAAGGCCAGGACATAGAGGTGGATGAGGTGGCCTGTGCGGCTCTGGCACGACCCCAGGCCAATGTCCCATGCCTCGCTGCTGACTGCACTTACCGCTGGCACGTCAGCCCCTGGACGGAGGTAAGCACAGCTGGCACTGGGACTCCCTGCCAAGGCTGGGGAGGGCATCAGCTTTGGGTCCTTACCTGGGGGGCATTGGTTCATTGTAGTCCTTTTTTTTTTTTTTTTGAGTTGGAGTCTCACTCTTTGTCCCCCAGGCTGGAGTGCGATGGCACGCTCACGGCCACTGTAGCCTCAACCTGCTGGGCTCAGGCAATCCTTCTGTCTCAGCCTTCCAAGTAGCTGGAACTACAGGCGCACACCACCATGCCCGGCTAGTTTTTGTGATTTATTGTAGAGACAAGGTCTCACCAAATTACCCAGGCTGGTCTGGAATCCCCCAGCTCAGGCAATCCTCTTGCCTCGACCTCCCAAATGCTGGGATTACAGGCTGAGCCACCATGCCTGGCCTATTGTAGTCCTTTGAAAGGAGGAGAGGGGCTGGGCTTGGTGGTTCAGCCTGTAATCCCAGCACTTTGGGAGGCTGAGGTGAGAGGATCGCCTGAGCCTGTGAGTTCGAGACCTGGCTCGGCAACTTGGTGAGACCTCATCTCTACAATAAATCAAAAATGAGCTGGGTGTGGTAGTGTGCGCCTGTAGTTCCAGCTACTGGGAAGGCTGAGGCGGAAGGATCGCCGGAACCCAGCAGGTCGAGGCTGTGGTGGCTGGGAGTGGCCACTGCACTCCAGTCTGGGCGACAGAGTAAGATTCCGAATCAAAAAAAAAAAAAAAAAAAAAAGAAAAGAGGAGAGGGACAGCAAGGCCTAGACACCTGGGGCGTGGGGCTTTCAGAGACCCCGAGGTCTGGGGGCACCAGAAGATGACAGGCGGACAGTTCAGTTCCACATGGATTAGCAAATGCCAGCCTGTGCCAAGCACCTGGCAAGGCACTGGAAAGACAAAGGTGAAAAGGTCTCAACCTCTTCACTGGAGGGGCTCACTCACAGTGTGAAGGGGGTACAGACACAGCAAACAGAGATGAGCCCCAGCCCCAGAGGCTTGCTTTGTGGCCACTGCCCACCTCTCCCAGAAGGACCCTGGGCATCTGGGCCAGGTGGGGATGAAAGCCTGGGCAAGGGTAGTGCCGGGATGCAGTGACCCACTGGCCCCTGCTCTAAGGCTTGTAAAGGCAGAGAGGCTGCAAGGGTGACAGGTGGAGACCCGGGCTTGAAACTGTCTCCTCCCGCCTACATGACCCACATAAGGTGACCTCTCTGAGCCTCTGTGGAATGGAGACACTTGCTTGCCTCCCAGCTTGTGCAAAAACGATATCCATCATGCCTGGCCTGTGGTCACCGCTGACCTCAGCACCCTCTGGCAGGGTCAGCCGACTCCTCCCCCTCTCTCAACAGTGCTCCGTCTCCTGTGGGGATGGCATTCAGCGCCGGCGTGACGTCTGCCTTGGACTACCAGCCCAGGCACCAGTACCAGCTGGCTTCTGCCAGCACTTGCCCAAGCCAGTGACTGTGCGCGGCTGCTGGGCCGGCCCCTGTGTGGGGCAGGGGACACCCAGCCTGGCGCCCCATGAGGAAGCTACCACTCCGGGTCAGACCACAGCCTCATCTGCGGATGCTGCCCTGGAGTGGCCTCAGCCCCGGGCCCAGGCCCGTGTCCTTTCCACAGCTCCCCAGCCCCGGCGGTTCCTGCCTGGGCCCCTGGAAAGCCCACCGCAGTCCAGTTATGTTCCTTCCTCTCGCTGTTGTGGGGGCTGGGTGCAGGGGGGCTGGGCCCAAGCATCTGTACCTGGGATTGCTGGCACACGTTCTTGGTTCCCTGCGATATATACAACCGGGCCAAAGGGATGTGCTTGGGAGGCCAGGCTCAGGACTGGCCCTCTTCCTACCCGGCAAAGCAAAATCTCAGTTATTATTATTATTATTTTTGAGTCGGAGTCTCACTCCATCTCCCAGGCTGAGTGCCGTGGCACACTCATGGCCACCCCAGAATCGACCTGCTGGGCTCTGGCAATCCTTCCGCCTCAGCTTTCCAAGTACCCGGAACTACAGGTGTGTGCTACCACGCCCAGCTCATTTTTGATTCATTGTGGAGACGAAGTCTCGCCAAGTTGCCTGGGCTGTTCTCGAACCCGTGGGCTCAGGCAATCCATTCGTCTCAACCTCTCAAAGTGCTGGGATTACAGGAGCACTGAGCCCGGCCATTATTATTATTTTTGAGCTGAAGTCTCACTCTGTGGCGCAGGCTAGAGTGCAGTGGTGTGATCACAGCTCACCATAGCCTCAGCCTCCTGAGCTCAGGTGATCCTTCCACCTCAGCTTTCTGAGTAGCTGTAGTAGGTGCACACCATCATGCCTGGCTAGTTTTTTTTGAAGAAATGAGATCTTGCTATGTTGCCCAGGCAGGTCTCGAACTCCTGGCCTCAAGTGATCCTCCCGCTTTGGCCTCCCAAAGTGTTAGGATGACGGGCATGAGCCACCGCACTCAGGCCTCACTTTTATTATCAAGTATTTACTTTTATTATTATAAAGTAACTTGAAGGTTTCAGAGTTGGGAACCCAACTCTTTGGGTCTGTGAGACCCAAAGGCCATGCACTGCTCTGCTTGCTGTTCCCTCTCTTGCTGGAGCATCTGAAAGCAGCTCTGTGCCTGATGGTGACACACTGACCCACGCAGCCCCTGTCCCTGATCTGAGCAGGCTTCCAGCTGGGCCTGGCAGGAGGTGGTCCATTCTGCCTTCTGGTCTCCCTCGTCAGCATGGAAAGCCCCAGACATTGTTCTGCTGGGCATCCCGGAAGCTCTGCTCACCTGTTTTCCTGCTTCCTTTACAGGTACTTGTGGCAGGCAGCACCTTGAGCCAACAGGAACCATTGACATGCGAGGCCCAGGGCAGGCGGACTGTGTGGTGGCCATTGGGCGGCCCCTGGGGGAGGTGGTGACCCTTCAAGTCCTCGAGAGTTCCCTTAACTGTAGTGTGGGTACGTCTAAGATCACACAAGCAATTGCTGCCAGTGATGGGCTCTGCCCAGTGTGTCCTCCTCCTGGCAGGATGCTCCATGAGCATGCTCACTTTCAATTTTCATGGCACAGCCAGGCACTGTGGCTCACGCCTATAATTCCAGCACTTTGGGAGGCTGAGGCGGGAGGATTGTCCAAGCCCAGAAGTTTGAGACCAGTCTGGACAACATAGCGAGACCTCTTCTCTACCAAAAAAAAAAAAAGCCAGACATGGTGGTATGCACCTGTAGTCCCACCTACCTGGTAGGTGCAAAGATTGCCTGAGCCCAAGAGGTTGAGGCTGTGGCGAGCCATGATCGTGCCGCTGCACTCCAGCCTGAGCAACAGAGAACCTGACTCCAAAAAAAAAAAAAAAAAAAGGCCCTCTTGTGACCATGTGTGATGATCTCCATTTTACAGATGAGAAAACTGAGACTGGGAGAGATTAAGTAACGAGCCCAGTTACTTAGAGTCTTGTAGCCAGTAAGTGGCAGAGTCAGGACTCGGACTTGGCTCAGTTTTCCTTGACTCAGACTTCGACTTGGCATGGGGTGGGGTGTGCTGGACCTTCACTGCACTGCTGCTTCCTAGGGGAGATGTTGCTGATTTGGGGCCGGCTTACGTGGCGGAAGACCTGCAGGAGGCTGTCTGGCGTGACTTTCAGCTCCAAGACCAACACACTGGTGGTGAGGCAGCGCCGCGTGCAGCCGGGAGGAGGGGTGCTGCTTCGGTATGGGAGCCAGCCTGCCCCGGGAGCCTTCCACAGAGGTACAGTGAGGCCTCCCCAACCTCCCTGATCCAGGCAGGATGGCTGGGTCGGGGCTACTGGGGGTGGGCCGGTCCCGGCAGGGCACAGGGCAAGACACAGATGAAACTGACTGAGATGGGAAGAACCAGGGGTGGCCGGGTCGGTCTGCCCATACGACCAGGATGAGTGCTGTGTCCCTTTCTCTCTGGAGCCATGCAGCAAGATGAGCGGATGTGGAGGTCAGTTCTCAGTCTCACCCCGTCTGTTGGGTCACAGCCCTGTGCCCTTGCCCCGGCCCTCAGTCCTCTCAAGTTCCTTTAAAGTCTTCCCGTAAGTCACTATTTTGTATTACATTATCATTTGATTTAATTAATTTATTTTTTTGAGGGGAAAAAATGAGCTTATATGTTGGGGGAAAAATTACAAAATCACACATGAAAACAAAGCACTAAGAATACGAACCTGAGCCAGGCTCAGTGGCTCAGCCTGTAATCTCGCGCCTTTGGGAGGCTGAGGTGAGTGGATTGCCTGAGCCCGCGGGTTCGAGACCCGCCTGGGCAGTGAGACCTCATCTCTACAATAAATCAAAAAATCAGCCGGGCGTGGTAGCGCATGCCTGTAATTCCGGCTACTCGGAAGGCTGAGGCGGAAGGATCGCCGGAGCCCAGCAGGTCGAGGCTGCAGTGGCCAGGAGCGGCCACTGCACTCCGGTCAGGGCGACAGAGTGAGACTCCAACTCAAAAAAAAAAAAAAAAAAAGAATAAGAACCTGAAATACAGCAGACAGTGATTTCAGATATACTTCAGAGATATTGCGGGCTTAGCTCCAGACCACTACAGCAAAACAAATATCACAATAAAGCAAATCACATGAATTTTTGGGTTTCCCAGTTTACGTCAAAGTTATGCTTGCACTGTACTGTCTATTAGTTGTGTAACAGCATAATCTAAAAAACAATGTACATGCCTTAATTTAAAAATGATTTATTGCTAAAAAAAAAATTAATGATCACCTGATCTTTTAGCAAGTTGTGATTTTTTTTTTTGGCTGGTAGGGGGTCTTTCACCAATGTTGTTTTTGGTAGTTGCTAAAGGATGGAATGGCTATGGCAATTTCTTAAAATAAAACAACAATGAAGTTTGCCACATCCATTGACTCTTTCATGAAGGAATTGTCTATAGAAAACAATGCTGTTTGGTAGCATTTTATCCACAATACAAATTCTTTCAAAGTTGGAGTCGATCCTCTCAAAACCTGCTGCCGCTTTGTCAATTGTTTATTTATAAGTCTAAATTCTTTCTTGTCATTTCAACAATGTTCATAACATCTTCAGTAGGAATATTTTCCATCTCAAGAAACCACTTTCTTTGTTCAACCATAAGAAGTAACTCTTCATTCATTCAAGTTTTATTATGAGATTGCTGCAATTCAGTCCCATCTTCAGGATCCACTTCTAATTCTAGATCAAGTCTTGAACCCCTCAAAGTCATTCATGAGGGTTGGAATCAACTTCTTCCAAAACACCTGTAAATGTTGATATTTTTGACCTCTTTCCAAGAACGATAAATGCTTTTAATGGCATCTAGAATGGAGAATTCTTTTCAGAAGGTTTCCAATTTATTCTATAAAGGTCCATCAGAGGAATCATTATCTATGACAGCTATAGACTTACCAAATGTATTTCTTTGTGTTTTTTTTTGTTTTGTTTTTTGTTTTTGAGTTGGAGTCTCACTCTGTCGCCCAGATTGGAGTGCAGTGGCCGCTCCTGGCCACCGCAGCCTCAACCTGCTGGGCTCTGGTGATCCTTCCGCCTCAGCCTTCCAAGTAGCTGGTACTACAGGCGCGCGCTACCACGCCCGGATGTATCATTTTATTTTTGAGTCTGGGTCTCACTCTCTTGCCCAGGCTGGAGTGCAGTGCCATGATCACAGCTCACCACAGCCTCAACCTTCTGGGCTCAGGTGATTCTCTCGCCTCAGCCTCCCAGGTAGCTGGGACTACAGACACACGCCACCATGCCCGGCTAATTTTTTGTAGAGACAAGATCTCACTATGTTGCCTAGGCTGCTCTCAAGTTCCTGGGCTCAAGAGATCTTCCCACCTCAGTCTCCTAAAGTGCTGGATTATAGGCGTGAGCCACTACGTTCAACCTGGGTTCTTTTGCATGCATGACTTATAGTCCTCCCAAGGAACCATCCTCTTCAGTGCCTGCGGTTCCCCTCAGTAACAAAGGAGAGAACTGAAGCTCAGAGCATGTAAGGCTTTTGCCTATGGTCACTGCACCAGGAAGTGATAGAGGCAGGGTTCAGTGGGGCTTCTGCCCGAGAGCCCTGGAATTGACCAACGGTACCATACTTCTCTCCTCCCTGCTCCCCATCAGTGAGTTGCTCTGGCCTCTGGCATCAGTGGTCCGCCTGGGCGCCTGTGTTTCTGAGGTGACCCACACCCAGGCCACCCCCTGCTCTCCCACTGCAGAATGTGATGTGCAACTCTTTGGACCCTGGGGTGACATCGTGAGCCCCTCGCTGAGTCCAGGCAGGAGGAACGCAGGGGGCTGCCGGCTCTTCATCAACGTGGCTCCACAGGCCCGGATTGCCATCCATGCCCTGGCCTCCGACATGGGCAGTGGATCTGAGGGAGCCAATGCCAGTTACATCTCGGTGAGACCACCAGGACGGGGACTGGCTGCCTTTTGCTGTGAATCTGGACAGCTGCTCCAAGGGAGGGGACAGGGCGCTGGGCTAGGGGACCCCCTTCAGTTTACTTCAGACCAAAACCCTCAAAATCATTCGAGAAACAATGAAGGAGGAGAGTTTCTTCCATTTATTGCCAGCAGATGTTTATGAAGCTACCCATAAGAGTGAAACAAAAAAGACCTTTTCTAATGTAGATTGCCAGTTAACCCAGGGCTGAAGCATCATTTTACAGCCTGATGTAACTTTGCCAGGAAAGCAGGTGAAGGTTTGGTGTGTTCTGGGAGACTGTGATCTGCAAGGTGTCAGCTCCCCAGAGGAGACAGCCTGGCCTCTGCCCTGACACCTGCGTGTCCTTGAGAAGTGATGGAGCATCCCTGAGCCTCAGTTTCCTGGGTAGAATAATAGCATCCTTCTGGCAGGGCTCTTGTGAGCATTAGATGTGATCCTGAATGTAGGAGACCTTGCAAACGAAGTCTGCTGTGATTGCTTGCTAATGATCACTGTTGCTGGTCCTTCTGGGCTGCCCTTTTCCTCTCAGATCCGGGACATCCACAGCCTGAGGACTACAACATTCCGTGGGCAGCAGGCGCTCTACTGGGAGTCAGAGGGCAGCCAGGCGGAGATGGAGTTTAGTGAGGGCTTCCTGGAGGCACAGGCCAGCCTGCGGGGTCAGTACTGGACCCTTCAATCTCGGATGCGGAAGAGGCTATGAAGAGAAGGAGCCTGGCGGGGCCCTGCCCTAGAGCCTCCTCTCCAAGCTCATCCTTCAGTTGACCCTGGTCCTGGAAGAGAAAGGAAGGAACCCGACATTTATCGAACACCTGTTAGGTGTCTGGCCAGCCCCGGAGAGTTGACCCTTGGCCTCTGAGTGCTCTCCAATTCTGATTTCCTCCGATCTTAGGTATCTCCTTTAGGGTCTTCTCCAGTGTCTAAAAGGCTAGGGAGTGGGAGGTGGGAGCTCTCTGGAAAGGCAGCCCCCAGCTCCACGGGTACCAATAAAGGAAACATGCAGCCTGACTGGTGTTTTCGTCTCATAACCTGTCCACACCTGGCTTGAAAACCCACTGCACGGCAAGGCGGGGATTCCCTGTTCTTGGTCGGCTCTGTCCTGACCTGGGCAAGTTCCTCAACCCTCTTAGTTGTCTTCTTCCCACCCAGCGAGAAGGAAAGGCCAGCGAGTGTGGAGTTAGGATCGGGTCCAGGCGGCTGGCGCTCCGCCTAATTCTCTGCCAAGCCCCACCCCTGTGTCCTGGCGGGCGGATCCGACCGCGAAGGGACCCGGACACCGCCGGGACCCGCCCTCTATGCTAATGAGCGCCAGGCCCCAGTCGAACGCAGCCCGAGGCGGCCTCCCAAAGCTAAGGAGCGCCAGGCCCCCTCGGGCCCACCTCACAGCGGCCTGCGAGCTCCGCCCCTATGCTAATGACGCCAGGCCTCTTCGGGCGCTTCTCACAGCGACCGGTGAGCCCCGCCCCGATGCTAATAAGCCCAGACCCCCGCGGCGCACCTCGCCGCGGCCTGAGGGCCCCGCCCCCTATGCTAATACGCCG